CCACCATGTTTTTGATCTGTTGAGGCCTAAGAAATTATCCAAATAGAAGTTTGTAAAGATGGATATTTTTTTCATAAAAAGTTGCATTGTTTACAAAGCCGAAGTTTTCAGACAAAGGTACACAGACTTGATCTCCTGCTGAGTTTATTGCTGCGCAAACTGCTCTGATCTTCTAAGGTATCCATTCCTTGGTGTGCCATTATTTTAATAGGATAGAGTTTCAGCTTTTTAACTATATTGGCTGGTGGAATCTGGAGGATTCTGTGGTGCATCACTGCTATAAAGCATACTTAGTAGGAGAATAAAAGCATTAGTCATATTCCCTGTCTGCCCTGTCATCCCTTAATTTTCTACAACTTTCTACTTAAGCAGTGTTGTAAGCTGAGCAGTTTTTAGAAATGCCTCTGGCCTTCCTTACTCAGAAAAGAGACATGAGAGGATTCATTAGCCTTTCCGGTTGAATCTGTGAGGCCATTTTATTACTGCTGCCAATTACATATGGGTTGTTACTTTAAAGCTTAACTCCATTCAAATATGAATGCTTTGCATGTGTTTTTACTTAGCTTTTCTGTTAGGTCAAAGTAGAGCCCTCCTCTTTAAGAAAAGCACAGCTTGACTCAAGTTCTTGGTGTAGTTTCAACATCCGGTGTTAAGCAATAGATGGTCAGTGAAGACTCTCCTTTTTTGTTACTATCTATAAAAGTCTATCAGATCCTGAACACCAAAGTAAAGGTGATATTGATTTGAAATTCTTATTGTTTTCATCAGTTGAACTTCATTCTGCTCCCCATTTCTGTCTTTGCTACACAGACTTTAGCACAGACACGTGTGTGATATTGAAGTCCCCTTATGTCAGATAAACTATTATCTTGCTTGTCCTAAAAACTCCCTATTTACAAGTACTCTGTTTGAAAAGCATACTACCAACTCCTGTTGAACATCTCGCAATAATTATGGATAAGTGCCCTGTCATGTCTGTTAATTGAATTGCATATCCTTGATGAGAAAGTTCATCTAAACTGGCCGAGACAGCAGAAGGTGGTGACTGGGGAATCTCTGTCTACTAACAATGTTTTTGAAATGCCAGACCTAATCAGCTGGAGTTGGCATCATCCCTCAGGCATCTTCCTTGTGTTGATGGCATAGAGAAATGAGCTGCCTTGCTTATAAATGAATTGTCAGACAACTTTATTTTGAATTACCACATTTAATTATGTTGCTGATATAATTTGCTATGATAAAATTAGTACAGTGCTTGTTTAGTTTTCCCATTCCAGTGAGCTGTACAATTTAGCAGTCTGAAGTAGACAGTCTTTCAAGGACTACTATTTAAAAAAACAAACCACCTTTATTCTGCCTGCCAGGTGGAATTTGAGTCCACAGCATCACTCTGATCCTTCTATTCAATAAATACAGTATCTCAAAATATTCAGTGTGCTAAATAGCCATATAGCTATGGGATAGCAATTACAGCAGTAAGATCTGTGTGCCTGAGACTGTTTCCAGTATCTGCTACACACACGCTGGACTGATATGGTGTGAGCAGAATATATTCAAATGATTGTGTTTTGGTTTGTCAGATATGCCTTTAAAATAAACTTGATGCCACTTAAAGAACCTTGTATTTTGTTGCTAAAACTAGCAGTAATGGTGATTAAAAATAGCAGAAAGTCTATACTATGAGCAGGGATGATGGACTTGTTTAATGCTGTGTTTCCTGGCAGCACAGCATGGCACGCTCTGAGACAGCACTGACAGGATGAATGGGGAACTTGTGCAGGGCAGCTCTTGGGTTCATCATCCTGCTCTGCCGCTCAGAGGCAGCAGAATGCTGTTCTGGAACCACTGTATCCCTTCTAGGATATAATCTGGCTGTGTGCTGTGCTCTGTAAAGCTACCTTAGGTACCTTGTGATGCTGGACTTAAGAGAATACATGTTTTTTTAAAAAATAGTTTGGGGTATATAACATGTAGAGGAGATGGCTGAGAGGGAATATACAGAATGAAATGAGGTAAGCTCAGCGGCAGTGTTGGCAGCAGAAAGTAGGTGCAGTTTATGCTGTCAGAACGTGGGTAGGGTGAAAGTGCAAAGGGATTTTAGGGTAAAGGTCTGGAATAGGCTTCTAGCCGAGTTGGAATTTTTTAAAACTACTAGCTGTGAGCAATTACATGGCATCTGATAGCAGGGGAAGATTTGACATTAACAGGTCCTTCCACTCCCATTTATTTACAGAGGTAAGACTGGAGTTATTTACAAAATAAGGCCCTACAGTAGCTGTGAGGTCCACAAGTAAGCATCAGGTAAAGAGTATCAGAAACAGTAACCTTCTTGGTTTTATAAATCACTCCATCAGTTCGTTTTACCATGAACTGCAGCTACTTTGAAGAAGATAAAACCAAAATGTGTATTTAAAAGTTGTGGAAACATACTGAATGAAACTCACTCACCGATGAGGATCTGAATTATCTTGTGCATAACTTGGCAAATTGGCGTTCTCTTGCTTTGTTTTTGAGAACTTAATTGGTGCATAGGCTGCAGCCCAGATGTCAGGTTTGCTCCAATAGGGCTTAGACAAACAAGCAAAAAGCATTCATTTTTTAAAAAGAATTTGATCTAAATTATTTTAGAAGGAAATAAAGATTCCTCTGAGTTACGTGCAACTAAACATAACATAATTATGCTAGTACAGGGGAACTAGAAAATAAATTTGTCTGAGCAAGGCTGAAACAGTGCAGACGTCTTTGCAGCTGAGAGTGAAATGCAAGATTTAAGCAATCACACTGGTAATGGAATTTTTGTCTTAAAATAATTAGATTTCCACCTGTCTCCAGCCCCAAAATAATAAGTGTAAAAGCTTTTCAAAGAATTTGTTTTCACTGCTGGCTTGATTCCAGCCCTCTTAGGAACCGTCTAGCTGACTTCCTACTTTAATAGCTGCTGAAAATTTCCTGAACTTACGCAGACCTACCGTATGGTTACTGGGCCAGCTTAGCCCTTCTCCTTACCCCTTCAGTGGGTAATGCTTGCTGCAAGGTGATCTAAATCTTTCATTTACGGCATGGGGATGGCCTGACTACTGCTTAAGATCAAGCCAAACGCCTGTAGTACACAGATCCTGAAAGAAGCAATGGCAACAGTCCCGCAGCTGTGAGGGGAAAGAAGAAATAGGAACTAGTCACAGGAGCTGAATTCAGGAGTCCACACATAGCTCTAGGGCTGGATTTCTTCAGCAGTCCTTTGCCTGGGGTTTAGTCTGGAGGGATGTCTTTGCACACAGAAGCAGCATGTAGCCCAACAATGTGGCTCTGGTGCTGATGTCTACATCTGTCCTCATTAATTAGCTTAAGGTATGCCTAATCACTTAAAACTAATCACTGAGGCTGAGATGGAAAAAGATTATATACCAAATGATACATGTACCATCTGTTTCTAATGTGTATGTAAAAACAATCCATATTCCTTCACACTATGTGTAATTGAAACGTTGCTTTTGTAGAAAAAGACGTAAGAAATCCAAACAAGTTCTCTCACTGATACTTGTCCTTTTTTCCAGCATTAGACTGCAGACACTCTAATGTTTCTTCTTTGCCTGGTGGTCCTAGGCATTGAAAAAAAACATATGAACATAAGGATTGTGCCCAAATGCTTTATCAGTGTAATGTCTTATGTTGACTAAGTTGTCATACCTCTGTGTTTCGTTTCCTGGAACTAGTAGTAAAGAATTAGTAATATTTTTGGTGGTGGGATAGTAACACATCAAGAGGTAAAAAGGGTTACTGGGATTACAAAAGCTAGAAGATTATTTTCATGCAAAGGCACCGTTCTTAAGTCCCACTAAAGGCAAAAAGATGCACATAGTGGTGACTGTTTCCAAAAGATCTCTGCATGAAATACAGCAGATATTAAGAACCTTGGATAAAACTGAAGTGTCAGCAGGTACTTGCTGTATTTATTTATTTTGCTTGTACTGTTAGTTTTCAAACTGACACCACAAAAATGTCTGTGAAAGGTGAGCTAGAAATAATTTTAATTATGGACTTTACATGTGGCTGAATTTGATTTGCTAGTACAAAAGCTTGGGATGACAGCCTTTACATGTCCCTACTATTTGTACTTTGTAATGTTGCCTAATGTCATCCTTCCTCTGCACCTGGCACGTGATCTTGTGGAACCCCTAGGCTTATAGTATTTTGCCTCCATTTGATAGCGGTGGTCACAGTGGGATAGGGTTGCTTACTAAAAGCTAATGCTCTTATCAGCTAAAGGACAACCATAGCATTAAGAATTATTTGTACTGAACCCTCTCCCCACAATACTGTACCTTGTGAGTGATCCTGAGGAATCACAAAGCCTTGGATTTAGATTTGGATTCCATACAGCTATGCTGCCAGTACACTGTGAGGCAGATTGAAATGGTTTGCTGTTAACACCTTCAAAATACAGAAGTATTGAGCAACTGAGTCTAGAACTTGTAGCAGCAAACTTATGAGCAAAATGTCACGTACTAAACATGTTGTATACCTCTCCTGCTGTTTGAGAATGTGTTCAGCTGTGTAGAGATGCAGCCTGCACTTTGGTCTTCTCCAGCTCATCAGTTTAACATATCTGAGCTCTTCTAGAAGATCTGATTGCACTGAAAACCTTTTAAAACATACTTTAATTTTCTAGCTGTTCTGTTAGTCCACTCAACATAGGTTAGCTTTGTGCTCTTCATCATTCAGCATAATGTAAATGCACTTCACTCCATTTTGAAAGGAATCATCATGGTTGTTTGATTGCATGAAATAAAAACAACATCCTTTCCCATCAGACATTTACAGTAGATCAAAAGCAAAATGAAAATTCAAATGTTGAAAGCTGCTTCCTCAAACAGCGACAGAAAGTAGTCATGAGCAAATGAGAGCTGAAACACTTCAGTCTTGTTTAGTTCCACAAATAGGTTTTGCTTTTGGTCAGGCTTCCTGTATTTTGTGAGCTTGCATGCATTCAGCAGTGCGCTATGAACAGCAGCAGCAATTTTAATGTTGTCATCATGTGGCAAAGCAGTAAAATATCTGCAATGTATTTCATGGACAAAGACTCCAAACTATCTAATTTATTTCAACAGGCAAGCAGTCCTACAACAGGAACAGCACCCAGGAGTCAGTCACGGTTGTCTGTCTGCCCTTCCACTCAGGACATTTGTAGGTATGTGCTGAGAAAAATATACATGAGTCTGGCTGATACTTGTTACTTGTTGTCTTTATTAAATAATATGTAGCTCTTGCTTCTGCTTAAAATTATTCATAATTTACATAGACTTTAGTTTTCTTTTGATTTCCCTTTGTTTTTGTTCTCTTTTTACTTTGGTTCTGTATTTGCTTTACAGTCTCATGTTTTTCTATTAATATTCATGTACTCATTTTCATCCTTTTTTTTGATTTCTCTCTTTCCACCCACCCTTACCATTTCCATCCCTTTCCTTTGCTTACTGCTTTGTCTAGATCTTCTACCTTGCATGATTTGTCAGAAGATGAACTTGAACATGCAACACCTGTCATGGTGCTGACCCCTTCTAATAGGGAGGCTGGTAGGAAACAAGTAAAACGAAGGTTTAGGCAGAAAAGAGAGACTGGAGACAATGGTGAGCATACAGAAAAGCAAGGGAAGGGGAATGTCTGTAAATTGCATCCTGAGCCTGCAAGATCCAGCTGGAATACATCTGATTCATCATCATCTTCGGATGAGAGTCAGTGGGCTCAGGCTAGGAGGAGAGCAAGAGAAAAGGCCAGAATGCCCAGGAGGGGGAGAAGGAACAATAGACCATGCGCTAACCAGGACGGGTCTGCAACCAGTAATGCTGTTGAACTTGTCACCTTGGGGGCAGTGGGGAAAAAGAAGCAAGAGATATCTGACCCTGAGAATCCTACATTAAACCACCGCCGAAGAATGGTTCCAAGGCTAAAGGAATCACAGTCTTCAGCATCGTCTCAGGAAACAAGGATTTCCTCAAAAAAATGTGGGAAAAGCAAAGGCAAAAGCTACTACAGAGATCGTCAGCCCGCGACGTTCCTTAGACACAATAAAGACACGAAGGACTGCTTTGCAGAGGCAGGCTCTGGCAGTGATGCTCTAGCAGCCCCAGATAATGCATCACCTGCTGGAGCAGGGCCCAGTGTGACTGATGCTGTTCAGAAGCCTCCAGTGTTGTATGATGACTGGTCTGATGATGTAGAAGTATGCAGGTTAGTCCGTAATAAGAAAGATCTAGCATTTTTAAAAGGAATTTCTTACCACTGTGGGCTGTGTGCCCTTCTCTCGACTGCTTTCTACCACTGCTTCTCAGTAATCACCTGCTAGGCAGGCCATATGAAATAATACCAAAGCCTTTGCTACAGAGGAGTTAACATATTTCAGCTGTCACGCTTCTCTTATTTAAAACCAGTAATAATACAAGGGGACCAAATGTTTTTCTTTGCTTCCTTTTTCTTCATGAAGGTGGACACGCTGTGTCCTCTGGCAGAGTATTAGTGTGTTTTATATCTCCAGCCAGAGGCAGAGAATGAGGCATAGTGCCAGATAACTCAGTACAATGGGATATGGAGTTTTTCCTCCTCCGTGGTCAGTTCAAATCCAGCTGTCTCATTTTTCATGAACTGACACAAAATAAATTTATTGTTTTGATCCGGTGTCCTCTAGAGCTGCTGTTACCACAGCAATCTGGTGGATGGTGATGCAAAATAACCCCTCCAGTCAGACCCATGCAAGACCTTGCACTGCTCAGCACTGAAGATGTAGGGGCTGTTGTTTGGTACTCATCACAAGGACTGGAACGATACAAAGCGTGATTGGAGAGAATAAGCTTTATATAAGCTCTGGTGAAGAAAAAGCAACACCAACAATTCTCTCTAGTACAGAAGTTCAGGGTTCTGGCAGTCTGATACACTGAGTGTGAACCACACAATCAGAAGGTGAGCATTTTCCCCTGGAAATGAGAGGAAGCTGGCCACTTTTGAGGTGCTGTCGGTATTTGGAGTAGACAGCTGGGTGGCTTTGAGTTACTTGACTTCATAGTAAATGAAAATGCACCATCCTTTAAGTTCAGCAGAACTGAAGCAAGTATTTCTTTCCCCCCTCCAAACTTTTGTGCTAGCACTGTCATCTGCAGAGTGTAAATGAGGATCAGGCTTAGTTTCTTGATATGGTAACCCAAGACTTCTCACTTTTCTTTGCTGGGAAGAAATTTGCATGCAAATGTAAACACAGTCAGAATGAGGAAGTTCATGATGCCACATCATACACTTTCACAGTATACTTCAGCCTAGAAACACACTACAAAGATCCTAGTTTTAAAAAGAAAAAAGATAATGTGCATGCATTGTGCTTTTTTCACAGCAGGAGATATAAGCCATTACTAACACAGTTAGTGCTGTGTGATGCATTTTTGAAGGACCTGAGGTATGGCTAGGTGGTGTGATGCAGAGATGTGCACAGATAACTACTTCAGCAGCTTCAGAGCTGTCTTAAATTTCTGAACCGCCAAGCCTGTGTGTATTCAAGATCCAGTGTACCAGGCACAGTACGTACATAATAAGGCCATTTAATAACTGTTAAGAATATGAGCTATCCAAAACCTGACATACATTATTTCAGTATGGGTCTTTATATGGACTTAAGTATACTGTGTTAAAAAAAAAGAGAAAAGTCAAAGTTTTGTCATCGTCTCATGTAGATTAATTGTAACTGTTGCCTAAGTCCCCAGACTTAGACTTTGCTTTCAGATGGAAAGCGGACTCCAGTCTTTTATCTGTCTTCTCAACCCATTCAATTTTATTATAGTTATTCAGGCCCTTTTTGTAAGAGTTGGCGCTTGGTTCAAGGATGGACTTTTTGGATGTGCGTGCAAACTTTCCAGCTAGGCTCTTGTTTAGTAGAGGAAGGTTGAAAAGTTCTGACAGGTATGTGTCCCTAGGCTTGCTATCAGTGGAGGTGCTCTTTGAACAACCAGAATGAAACTCAACAGAGTTGATAACTTGGCCTGCTGTGTAAAATTTGACAAGAGAGTCATAACTGCATTACTGTAGGAACATTACAAAATCAAAAGCATGTTAATTTTTCATAGCTGATAAATTGTCTTAATCAATATGCAGACAGCTGAAGAAAAAAGAAAGCATGTTTTTAATACCAGTCCAGTTTAGACTGTCGTTTCTGTTTTTTCGGGACAGGTCCGTGCTCTTAGTTGACTCGTGATCTGTGGCATGTTTGTCTTCAGATGCAGAGTCTTGCTTCTGAAACAAAAAAAGAATGATGTTTCAGTGAAGCTGTGCACATACAGTAACCATTTTTCTGCATGAGAAATAGAAAAAGGATTTCTTTGTGATGTTTATTCTAAGAATGGAATTAACATAGCTGGTTGTGATGTGGAAAATTCGTTTTGTTGAGATGTTTCTTCAAGCTTTTCATCCAGATATTTCTGTCTTCGAGTTGATAAGACAAAACTGGCTGAGAGGAATGGCTCTCACCTAGATGGGATGTGTAGAACCAACAGAGGAATAGGAATCTTAAACATCTCCAGTTATTGTGCCTTTAAGTGTTTGGGTAGGCATTTTTTTTCATTTACTTCCTCATGAATTACTGGCAGTGGAACACATTTATATACGCACATAAGCCTATAAACAGTTTCCTCAATGTGCATTTAGCCGCATAAGTGGGAATGTGACAGGACATGAGCTACCCTAGCATAAGCACATTAGTCAGGCGGATAAAGTACAGTACCATGGTGCAATATATGCTTCAGCTGGTCTTAACGAAGGCCTCCTGGTCACATCAAATGAGACATTTCCCCTTTCAGTGTCACTGCTTCTGTTTCCAAAATGATGAGGAAATGACATGACATCAGTGAATGATCTTTACAATCTCTTCCCTGAACATACTCCTTTCATCTGGAGTCCGTTAGGAAGCAAGGTTTCTGCTTCTGCGATTAGGTACCACTATATAAGTTCTGGCCATGTTGAGTTGTTTTGGCACCTTTTTTTTTTTTTTTTTTTTTTTTTTTTGGTGAGAGTTACGGGGTGGGCTTTCTAAATCCTGGAGTTGGATCTCTCTTTTCTGAAGTTGCCCTGTAGCTGAGATTTTCTTTCTATATACTTTATTCTGGAATTTGCCATATGCCTTGAAGCACAACCTCAGAAGTATCTTCCTCTGGTCTGTATGAGGCTAACGGGGGCTTTGTGTATTGACTCCAATTTAATATTATGGTATTTTTATTATTTATGATAGGAGAATTGAAATATATTTTGTGTTTGACTAGCTATGCTTCTGGTGTAAGGCCTTTTTGTAGCACTGATGTAGTAATTTCAGCAACAACACTGAACTGCAATGCTGTAAGCTGTAAGAAACCATACACACAAATAAGATGGAGTTTCTCACTAGGAAAAAAATGCATATCAGACGTAGAATTTTTGTTTTATTGAACTTCATGACTGACTCTGTATGCAGTGAAGTAAAGTAAGGCTGTCATTTGAAGGCGTCGGTCTCTTCTCTCAGGTGACAAGTAATAGGACAAGACCAAATGGCCTCAAGTTGCACCACAGGAGGTTTAGATTAGGAAAGATTTCTTCATCGAATGGGGTCTTCAGGCATTGGAACGGGGTGCCCAGGGAAGTGGTTGAATCACCATCCCTGGAGGTATTTGAGATGTGTGGATGAGGTGCTGAAGGACAAGGTTTAGTGGTGGTATTAGCAGTGTTAACAGCTGGACTTGATGATCTTAAAGGTTTTATCTAAACTAAAGGATGTTTCTAAGAGTAAAGAAGAGTAGGGCAAGCCAGAAGGCTGGTAAGAATTAGTAAGGGAGGTGATGTAGTTGATTCATGAGATCTGCAGAATCTACTTCAAGTAAAATTTTTTTAACATCAGCTTAAAAAGCTGGTGTATTTATTAAAAGGCCATTATAAACTTAGGAAAAGACTAATATGGGTGTTGCTATGTGTTAACACAATTATAAGTTGTTGTTGCCCAGAGAAGCTGTGGATGCCCCATCCCTGGAAGTGTTCAAGACCAGGCTGGATGAGGCTTTGAGCAACCTGGTCTAGTGGAAGGTGTCCCTGCCCATGGCAGGGGGGTTGGAACTAGATGGTCTTTAAGGTGCCTTCCAACCCAAACCCAAATCTTATGGTTCTATGATAAATAGGAAGAAATAGTGTACA